TATGCAAATCCCAGGGCGCGCCCCTCACGCAGATCCTTGGCCTCGGAGCGCCAAGTTGCTGCGGGGAGCATGCGATGTCGCTTCGCGCGCGCGCGTCGCATCGCCCTTGCATCGGCCTTTGCGCGCCGCGGCGCAGTCCCGAGGATGCACAGGGGGATCCCTCTCTTCGGGGCGACGAGTCGTCCCGCGCGCCTTGGGCAACCACTGCGTGCAACTTCGCCGCCGCTGGGCGGCGCCCCTGCGTAGCACAGGGACTCGCGTCAATAAACGTGGATCTTGCGTGCAACCTCTCCGCCGCTGGGCGGCGTCCCTGCATCGCACAGGGACTCGCGTCAAAAAACGTGGTTCTTCAAATCGCGTCGGCACGCGCGCGGGCCGCATCGCCGTTGCAGCCACGTCCCAGGTGCCTTTGCGCGGCCGCGTCGTCGTCGTTTTGAAAACAATATCAACGTCGTCGTCATCGGCGTCGTCCTCGTCGTCGTTTTGCGAGTCGCGTGTTGATACCGCATCGAAATCAATATGTCTTGGGTCATGGGTGGGTGGGACACGGTCAAGTGGGCTGCAAGTTTGGGCTAGTGGACCCTAAAAACTAAGAGCCTATAAAGATTAAAATCCTGAAATGCCTTCCGCGTCCCTTCAGTCCCTCCTTCGGCCGCCCCCCCCCCATTTTGGCGCACCCCTCGCGCAGATCCTTGCCCTCGGAGCGCCAGGAATGGCGTTCTGGGAGGATCTGCAAATCACGCAGATCCTTGCCCTCGGAGCGCCAGGAATGGCGTTCTGGGAGGATTTGCAAACTCCCGGAGTACCGGGAGTGGCGTGCTGGGAGAGCCTGCGAAAGTGCAGGGTACTCCCCTCGCCCAGACTCGTGGCAGACATTAATGGCCTCGGCATGCCAGGCATGGCGTCAATACTGTCCTTCGCGAAAGGTACGGGCGCGACCTCGACCCTTTCGGGTTGAGAGGCGCCCCCGTGCCCTTCCCCAGGGGCCGCCCCGTGGAGGCTGGACATGGCCCCGTGGGTTTCCGAACGGATCTGGCCGCCCCGTCGCGCGGTCACTCCGCGGCGCGCTCGAGCGCCACGGAACCAGCGCGGCGGGGCGACCACGGCCGCCCAGAAGCAATATCAACGTCGTCGTCATCGGTGTCGTCCTCGTCGTCGTTTTGCGAGTCGCGTGTTGATACCGCATCGAGATCAATATGTCTTGGGTCATGGGTGGGTGGGACACGGTCAAGTGGGCTGCAAGTTTGGGCTAGTGGATCTCTAATCCCCATGATTATTAAACCTCAAAGTCTACCTCCCCATGCCTCCTGATGTCTTGTGAACTTCTGAGGTCGAGCCTGCTATGGGGATCTTTACGACCCGCTATGTAAACCACCCACAATCCTATGCAAAACATATTATTTCCTGTTCATGCGTGCTCCCAGGCGCACTCCGGGATCGAGCCTGCAAGGGGGATTTTTACGACCCGCTATGTAAACCAACCACAATCCTGAGTAACACATTATTTCCTGATCATGCGTGCTCCCAGGCGCACCCTTGGATCGAGCCTGTTATGGGGATCTTTACGACCCGTTATGTGAACCACCCAGAATCCTATGCGAAACATATTATATCCTGATCATTCTTCGTTTATGATGTGCACTTTCCATTGTAAATTACAATATAAGTATAAGCTTTATTTTTTTTGGGGGGGCGGAGCTTGGAAGTGTATACGATTCACAGTTCTACATTTGTCTCTATCTGGATGCATTGTGTTGTTTCGGCACGCTCTGGTGCTATGCGACAGCCACGCTAGAGGCTGCGGTTACCCAGATGTTGTGGAACTCGCCTTTGTGCTAATATATGTTATGCTGGCATAGCATAGGAGAGGCGTTGCATAGCAAAGCACGTTGAGGTCGGGCGAACCCTAGAGTCCGCCCGACCCGACCCGACCCGCTTGTTAGGGTTCACGCGTGTCAAGTGTACACGCACCATGCTTTAATGTCCCGCCCGCCCGACCCGACCCGCCCGTTAGGGTCCACCCGACCCGACCCGACCCGCCCGTTAGGGTCCGCCCACCCGACCCGACCCGACCCGCCCGTCAGGGTTCACGCGTGTCAAGTGCACACGCACCATACTTTAATGTCCCGCCCGCCCGACCCGACCCGCCCGCTAGGGTCCGCCCGACCCCGACCCGACCCGCCCGTTAGGGTCCGCCCGCCCGACCCGACCCGCCGTTAGGGTTCACGCGTGTCAAGTGTACACGCACCATACTTGAATGTCCCGCCCTCCCGACCCGACCCGCCCGTTAGGGTCCGCCCGACCTGACCCGACCCGCCCGTTAGGGTCCGCCCGCCCGACCCGACCCGACCCGCCCGTTAGGGTCTCCCGCGCGCGCGCGGCCGCCGCCTCTTTGCTAAGCGTTTGCTCCCAGGCTTGCTATGGTATGCTATGATATGCTACAACCACGGTATAACATGAGAGGAGAGATGATCTTTATGTGGGGGTGGAGATGCGGGGGGGATTGATAGCCACCGCAGGTGAGTGCCTATGCAGGTAGGTATTCCTGGCCTTGCCCTGTTAGACCCTAAACCCTAAACCCCTACTCGCCCTCCTCGGTCCTCTTCCGCGCAAAGGGGGTGTGCTCACTCCAGCCGGGGTGGCTTCCAAGGGCTCCCGCTTTGGCCCAAGCCCTCTTTGCCGTTGTATCTCGAGGGTATCTTTGACGAGATGGAGACCTTGCGCGCCGTCGCGGATCGGCGTGGCCGACGACACCTACCTAGCTTGTCCGCTGGGGAGGCTCTTGGAGCAGTGGCCCGTCTTGGAGGAGAAGCTTGAGGAACACGGGCACCGCTTACAGCCGTCACAATGCAAGGTCTTGATTCCGAGCTGGGACACCGTGGTAGCTCCAGATTCCCTCCCAGGGGAGATCCAGCGTTTCGTAAACCGCGTTCTCCGCGAGACGGTGGCCTTGCCGAAGCTTGGCGCAGCTGCTCATGGCCGACTGTGAGGCGGTGCTCGGGCCGTGGGGCTGCAATGGTGCGATCAGCGCAGAAGCGCGCCGATGCAGCGTGCCGTGACCTGACCAGGCTGGAGCGCGTGGTGCGCGCGCGTGTGCATGCCGAGGCAGACCTTGCGGCGTACACCACCATCCAGCGCTCTCCGTGCTGGGCTCTTGACTATGTCGTCCGGATCTGTCCGTGGGGGTACATGGAGGAGCGCGCGAGGCCGCTGGCAAGGGCATGTTTCGAGGCGCTGGAGGCGCTGCTCACTGGCCCGCTGGAGCACCAAACCCGACAGCAAGCGACCCTCCCGGGCTCGCTCGGCGGGCTGTCGCTCGCCGGGCTTTTGTTCGGCCTCCCGTCACGGGGGCGCGCGGCGGCGGCATTCCTGTCAAGGAATTTGGTGCATGCGCGGGAGGCCCAGTCGCTTTCCGCATGGCTGGGAAGAGGGTGTTGCGGCTGGCCTGAGGAGGAGGAGGAGGAGGAGGAGGAGGAGGAGGAGGAGGAGGAATAGGAGGAGGAGCAGGAGGAGGAAGGGAGGAGGAGGAGGAGGAGGAGGAGGCAGCCCGCGCCGCCGTGATTCAAGGTCACGGGCGTCGAGGTTCGCGACGGTGCGGTTTCCTTCACAGCGGTTGCCCGGCGGCGGTACGAGGCGGGGCCTCGGCATCATGATCCGGTCACAAATCAGGTGTTCAAATTCCGCGTGAATGTCGGTGCAGCCCCAACACATGTTGATGGGCCGTCTGCGGGTGCGCTGCCGGCTGGCCCGCCCCCTGCCCAGCGCAGCCGCCCCTACGGCCGCATGCTCCGAGGCCTCGGTGCTCTGGCCGCCTCGTCGCTACACGAGGAGATGGATGTCCATCGCCAGACGTGCTTGCTGGAGAGGGGATGCCCAGGCACGGGCACGCTGTGGTCTAAGTATACGGTGCCGGACCGCCCGGCACTGCGCATGGCCAGCTCGCAGTGGGCGTGAGCCACCAAGAGGCGCCCTGGGCGCTGGGCACAGGGCGGGCACAGGCTGGCAAGGCGTGTGCGCTGCAGAGCAAACGTGATGATGACCCATGCGGGGAACCGCTGGCCTCCCACCTGCATCATCCTACGGTGTGCAGCGCGGGGGCGGGGCCGCTGCGGTGCCATGCGGTCGCCGTGGCGGTGCTCGCGACGCATCTTCGAGCAGCTCGCTGTCGCGGCGCTGGAGGCCGCCATCCCGGAGCGGCGCGAAATCGGTGACACGGGCACGGCCCATGACAGGCTTATGCACCCGCCTGGTATGGTGGCCTGGAGGCAGCCGCTGGTTCTTTCTGGACGTTGCGATCCGGTCCCTGTTGGCGGTCGCGCGCGCGAAACCCGGGCCGCGGCGGCGCGGGATGGCGAACAGGACAAACTGCAGCACTTCGTCGCCAGCGCGCTCCCATTCGCTATGGAGCAGGGCGGCCGCTTGCGGGCAGAGGCTCGCTGCAGACGTTCACGTCGCTGCTCCCAGAGGGCGCAGAGTGCCGCCAGGTGCGCCCTGGTGCCCCCGCGTGTCCGCGCTGTCCGTCCGCAGGGTGCGCGCTGGTCTGGAGGCAGAGGTCGTGCGACGCGCCGCCCAGATGTGCCTCGTTGCTCTGGGCGGCCTGGCGCTGGGCGCGCTCGGGTGGGCCACGGCCGCGCAGCGCAGCAGTGGAGGCGGGCCCGCGACCCAGCTGAGCGCCGAGGACCCGGAAGCAGATGCGAGGGCTGGCTTGCATCGCCACATCGTCGCTTGGAGGAGAGTGTCAGGAGGAGGAGGACGAGGAGGAGGAGGAGGAGGAGGAGGAGGAGGAGGAGGAGGAGGAGGAGGCGGAGGAGGAGGAGGAGGAGAAGGAGGAGGAGGAGGAGGAGGAGGAGGAGGATGAGGAGGAGGAGGGAGGAGGAGGGAGGAGGAGGAGGAGGAGGAGGAGGAGGAGGAGGTTAAAGAAGAGGTGGAGGAAGAGCTGTTGTGGAGGAACAGGGAATAAGAGGAGTGGAGGAGGATGGGCGCCCCCGCCCTTCGCCCAGGAGCGTTGCGGGGCGCCTTCGGTGCCGGGCAAGTCGAAGCAGGCGCCCGGGGCTCGCGGGCGCGAGTTCGGTGGGGGCGCGACTGGCCGCACCTCGCGTCGCAGACCAATCGCGTCGGCCAATGTTGAAGCGGTTGCGAACAATTCAGGAGAGCATCGCCGCGTCGTGGACCCAGAACCTCCGCCAGATCTTCAGAGCACTGCGCTTTTTCGCCGTTCCGCGCCCCAGGACCATCAAAAAGCGTTTTGGGACGAGCAACTGGCCCCAGAGAGTGGGTCAATTCCTCTGGGGGTTGGACGTTGCGAACAGATCATGGCGTCGGGGGTCTGGGCAAGGGGCCCGCGCGAGAGGCCCCGCCGCTGGCCCAAGGCCTCCGACGATTTTTTTTCTCCGGGGGGCAGGTTCTGTTCAGATTCTGGCAACTTTACTCGCGTCGAGGGGATGGGATGGGGGGAGGGGCGCGGCGAGGCCGGAAAAGGAGACCTGGACTTCATGCAAGTCGGGACGCATTTGCACGCATTGTCGGCTCAATTGATCACGGCATGTGGCCTATCTTGCCGTGGGTTCAACTTGCAGGACAGCGCGTGCTCCACTCCTACTCCTTGTGCATCGGCCAGGTAAAATTTGTCACCTCTTGCCTTGCTCCCACTGGATACATTGGTTTTGCGATGTTATTTTGTACAGGAGAGTCTAGCGTGTTGTGCTGTAGTGGGCGTATGTGCGGAGGATGACACTTGTTTACTGGAAGCAGAGGCTATTTGAGCAGTGCTGAACATATCTAAATCCTTACTATGTTCTGAGGCTCATGTTACTTATTTGCACATCTGCGCTGTCATGCTCCACATAGCTTCGAATACTCCCCGCGGCCAGGCGGAACATGTCGAATTCACGGTGTTCTCTGGTAGGTCGTGATTTTTGTGGGATGTCTCGTATTTTGCGGGTCGCGTGCCAGTGATGACGACAGAATTATCTCCGCATCGGGTCCTGAGGCCATGTTGAGTACTCCGAGAAATCCTTACTATGTCCTGAGGCGCGTCGCACCAACCGTTCGTTTGCGCGCCAGTTTTCGAGCATAGCTCTTCCACGGGGACTCTTTGTCCATCGCCCCCTCGCGACCAGGAAGACCGTGTCGGACTCACGGTGTTCCTTCCACACGTTTGCATTTTTGGTACATTTGCCGATGATGACACCTGTTTGCTTGAAGCAGATGCTCCTGGAGCAGTGCCGAATACCTGTGAATCCTTACTATGTCCTGAGGCTCACGGCATCGGCTGCGTTCTCGCACAGATGCTTCATGATCGTTTGGTACATGCTCGCCGTATCGGCTCCTGTAGCCATGGCTGAATATTCAGGAATGCTTACCATGTCCTGAGGCGCGCCCTGAGTCCGTCAATGGCAGCCGGGTGAGCGTTTGTGTACTCTGCAGTGTTTGAGATTCGTGCGTCCTCCTTTTTGTCCTCCATGCCGCCCTAGTCCTCCTTAGTCCTCCATGTCCTCGTTGTCATACTTGGCCTCTTTCTCCTTGCCCTCGTCGTCCTCCTGCCCGTCCTCCTGGTCCTCCTCGCTCTCCCCCTTCTCGTCCGCGCTGTCATCCTCGCCCTCAACGTTTTCCTCCTCATCCTCCTCCTCATCCCCGCTGTCGCCCCCGCTATCCATGCTGATAGTCATCGAGATTTGATGCGCGCGCTGTGATGGTGGATCACGGCACGTGCCCCATCATGCCAGCGTGATCATTTACCCGACACCATGCGTATTAGTTTCTTCGCATAGGTGCTGACCTCCATGTATGCATGCATTTATGTCCTGAGTGTGAATGTGGGAAGCGCGGCGTCCCAGATCGCCAACCGCAGTGTTCGCACGGCCTACTGTGCTAGCTATTTGGGGCCGCAGAGGCACGATACGCTTGCTGTGATGGTGGATCACGGCATGTTGCTTATCGTGTCGGTGGCTACACTTGTAGGGCAGCATGCGTACCAGTTATCGAGTTTGTTTCTTTGTGGTGACTCCGTGCCCATCGGTTTGGCCTACATGTTTGTTTCTTGCTTTGCACCTATTGGGCAGGATGTCGGATTCACGGTGTCTTCTTGCACAGAAGAGTTCAGGAGGTTGTCTCGTGGAGGGCACATTTGCTGGGAACACACTTGTTGATTGGAAGCATTTGCTCGTGGACCAGTGTTGAGCATCTCTAAGTCCTTACTATGTCCTGAGGCTCATGGTCATTATTTGCCCATCTGCGCTGCCACGCTCCACATAGCTTCGACACCCCGCGGCCAGGCGGAGCATAGCAAATTCACGGTGTTCTCTGGTAGGTTGTGATTTTCTTGTCTTTTTTCGTGATTTGCAGGTCGCATGCCAGTGATGACGACAGAATTATCTCCGCATCGGGTCCTGAGGCCATGTTGAGTACTCCGAGAATTCCTTACTATGTCCTGAGGCGCGTCGCACCGACCGTGCGTTTGCGCGCCAGTTTTCGAGCGTAGCCCTTCCACGGTGACTCTTTGTCCATCGGCGAGGCCTCAAACGCGCCCCCTCGCGACCAGGGAGGGCGTGTCGGACTCACGGTGTTCCTTTCACACGTTTGCATTTTTGGTACATGTGCCGATGATGACACCTGTTTACTTGAAGCAGATGCTCCTGGAGCAGTGCCGAATACCTGTGAATCCTTACTATGTCCTGAGGCTCACGTCATCGGCTGCGTTCTCGCACAGATGCTTCATGATCGTTTGGCATATGCTTGCCGCATCGGCTCCTGGAGCCATGGTTGAATATTCAGGAATCCTTACTATGTCCTGAGGCTCGCCCTGAGTCTGTCAATGGCAACCGGGTGAGTTCTTGCGCATTCTGCAGTGTTTGAGATTCGTGCGTCCTCCTTTTTGTCTTCCATGCCGCCCTAGTCCTCCTTAGTCCTCCATTGTTGCTGGGGGCCATATTTTGTGATATAGGTTTAGCATATGCGTTTCACTCAGGGACAGATGGTCAGAGGACCATCATGTGTGACGTCCGTTCCACTTGTGGCTCAAGGGAAAACATTTCGCTTGCCTCTCCTGCTGCCACAGTTGGTAGCGGAGCGGGATCGGGCCCGGGGCCATGGGCAAGGGCGCGAGGCCGTGACGGCCGGGCGCCCGCGCTCGCGCGCCTTGGGCCAGGTTCCGCTCGCACCGCTGAGCGGTGGAGGATCCACGGCGGATGCCCGCGGAGGATGACGACACATGTGCAGGTATGGCGACGAGAGGCGCCGAGGCTGTCCCAGCGGGCAGCAGCGCCGCTGAGGCGCGACCAGCGGGGCAGACGGCTGCAGGATCTTCGGCAGGGGCGCCGGGGACATCACCTGCAGCGGCGCCGAGGGCAGGCGCGGGCATAGACACGGACGCCCTCTTGAAGAGCGTCCAGAGCATGGTCAAGCAGACCATCAGAGACCATTTTGGTCAGCAGCAGCGAGACCCATGGGTTGACCAGGACGACCCGTGGGCCAGTGGACACGGACGGCCAGCCGACTCGCAGCCGAGAGACAGCGCAGCAGGAGAGACGACGACTGGCTGGCGAGAAGGCTGGAAGGACCAGAAGGACAAGTCCGAGGGCTGGAAGGACACCTCGGACTGGAACGACACCTCCGACTGGAAGGATCGGAAGTGGAATGGCTGGTGGGAATCGAGCAGCTGGCCTGGTGGCCGCGGAGACTACACGGATCCACCCGCATGGCCGGGCTGGGCACACTATCGGCAGTGGAAGCGCTCGATCAAGAGATGGAATGACAATACGGACGTAGCAGTGTGGCGCAGATCAGAAAAAATCATGCGCCTGTTCGAGTGGTCGATGCAGGCCAGGTTCGAGGACATACCAGACGATGATCTAACATCGAGCAAGTGGCTGGACATCATTCTCAAGAGGATGGACCTCATGATTGGCGAACGGGAAGGAGATGAGCTTCGGCGAGCTGGGCGAAAGGCGCTGTACGACGCATTTCGGGACCCCAAGAACGAGACGCTGACCCAGTTCGTGAGCCGCCGTGAGGCGGAGTACACCGAGGCCGAGGGACACGACCTCTGGATGTCCGACAAGTTGAAGGGGCTGTTCCTGGAGGAAGGTGCGAACCTGACTCCTCAGGGCATCCAGAACCTCCGGACGCTGACGCGCGGCGACCTCACGTACCACAACGTGAAGTGGGCGCTGCGCCAGCTCGACTCTTCGGCCGGGACCGAGAAGCTGCTGCCGGGCATGGCCGGGCCAGGCAGCATGCTGGCGACGTCGGCATCCCCTGAGGACTCCGGTCCGGGTGCACGCTCTGACGCCTTTCCTGGTTTTCAGTCTCCTCCCTCCTCCTCAGCTCACCTCGGTCGGTCAGCAGGTCGGTTCCACGACGGTGGCAGCCACCAGGAGGAAGAGGCCGACGAGGACTACTACGACGAGGGCGACGAGGGCAGCGACGAGCTGGATGAGGAGGACGTCGAGGCGCTGATGGCGGAGATCGACGACATGGACGTCGGCGAGGACGACATCGAGCTGGTCATGGCGGAGTTGACGAACAACCGCTCTTGGAAGCAGAACAAAGATCTGAAGCGAGCTGCACGGCGTGACCGAGAGTACTTCGGCTCCATGGGCCCAAGGGCCGAGGCGGAGGAGGACTGCCTCCTCCCAGGCCGGAGGGCCGAGGCAGGACGAGGCGAGACCGACCTGGGCGCGGAGGCGGAGCTGGACGAAGGCCTCCACCTGGGCGGAGACGCTTCCTGACGCAGGAACAGCTGATGAAGGTCACCACGTGCAAGCTGTGTCACGAGAAGGGGCACTGGGGACGTGAGTGCCCCAATGCCGGCGGAGCCAAGAAGGAGCCAGCCAAGAAGGACGTAGGCGGCAGGAGACCTCCTCCTCCTCGGCGCAGTGCCTCTGCGTATATGTTCGAGGGAGTGGCCTCCAACACGATGGGCGGCTGGAGCGTGCCCGCCTGGCGCGAGGTCGAGGAGGAGATCACGAGCAACTCGGTGTTTTTGGCCGCGTCCTCCACCCAGGGTCTCATCGACCCCGGCGCCGGCACCGACTTGGCGGGCGTGGAGGCCCTCAACCGCGAGTCCGAGGCGCTCGCGGTGCACGGCCTCCGTTTCGTCGAGATTCCTCCAGAGCACCGTGCCCGCGTTCGAGGAGCGCGCGGTGTAGGAGGCGCCGCCAAGGTGATCAGTGCTGTGCTCTTTCCTTTATGCCTCGGCGGAGTTTTCGGCATCGTAGACACCGCCGTCCTTGGAGAGTCTGCGCCGCACATTCTCAGCGTGAATTTGCTCGAATTTCTTGAGAGCGTCATTGATCTACCGAGGAGCAAATTGCGGCGGTCAGGAGCTCTGCGGACCACGGTAGACATGACGCGTTTAGGCTCTGGGCATCGGATGGTCGAGATCGCCCGACCGCTCGAGGAGCCTGCGACCGCGCCAGCCTCAGCTCTGAAGCGATACCCCTTTCTCACGGAGAGCTCATTCGTATTTGGTAGTGGGAAGCCTCCGAAGATGCTGGCTGACGGAACGATTGCGAGCTACATGATCTCCCTCAACCTCCCCCCTTATAGAAGCAGGTCCAGGCTTCGTTCGACTAGGCCAGGTGCCAGGCCCAGGAGGATGTCGAGCAGATCGGAGTTCGGT